CAGGATGATTCTCTGGCGTCAAAGAAAATGTCCTTACAGTGTTTTTTGTATAGAACCAACACTAATATTGTCTATATCGTTACAACTTTGAGTCATGCAGAGTCCTTTTAAGTGTTAGATTTTGTAGTAATGGTCATAGAACACGTTTACCTGAAACTTTGATGGCAAAAATAGGTTTTTAACTTGAAATCTTGCATCTTTCAGCTCTAGGATACCTTCAGTGCATTGCAACTCTTAGATTCATTGCACACTTTAAATGCCACGAGTGGGCAGCAGAGAATATCACGAGATGCCATTTGGTGAATGGCTTAAATGTCATGTCCTGATCCTCAGTTCATCTGTTATTCCCTTAACTCAGCCTTTGATAGTCCACTGTTGCTATTTTAGTTTTATTATATGTCCGTGATGCTGAAGCTATTAAAAATACCTCTGTGAAGACCAACATAGCATTAGAAAGAATTCTCCTGGTATTTTTGCAGAAGTGGATGACTGGTGTCCCAGTGTTAAAAACTAATTAGAAGGACTCTGTGTTGTGCAATTTCAAACTCTCCTGGCTGGCATTTACTTCATTTTAAGTAGAATCTGATAACGCAGCCTAGATAAAATCTTTGTGGGGGAAACTGGCGTTGTTTGACCAGCACACCTGCATCTTGCTGACTTTTTTCCCTTGCTAGATGATTGAATTGTTGGTGATCTTGCTTTCTGCAGACATCCCATTCCTGCCTGGTGTTTCAGTCAGTCTTGTGGCCAGAATATTCCTTTTGGAACCTGTGTGAGGCCATCCTGCGGTTCCAGATGAACTACAATGCTTTACAGGTAAGGGAGCCTTTGGGAGATGGAAAGCCCTGCCCAGCAATGTGCAAAGTGGGAACAAAGGAATTGTTCATTTAGTGTGGTTAGTTAAGATCTTGTTTCATTAGCAGCTAATGCTGCTTCTCTTCTACCCGTGTGGCTTGTTACATCTTAGCATGGGGCCAGCCTTATCTGCTGTCAGGAATAGCTAAAATATCTGAAGCCACCACTGTCTCTGTTACTCTTTGCTTGTTCTACCAGCTGGAAGTATCTGTCCCCACTTCTCAGCTGGCAGGACAGAACAGGTAAGGACTCTTTATTTACTACAGGACAAAACCAACCAGTTTAACTCAAACCACTTCATCAGTGGCTTAAGTAAGGACTGCTGAGTTCACTCTGGAATGAGCAGGGAGAATTTGCATGCTTTTCCTCTAACTCAGTTATTGTTTTTAGGGTTGTAACAAGTGGGTTGAAAATTTCCTTTCTGGGAGCTGAAGCGAGGCTGCCTGGGCTGTGAGACACTGGACAAGTGTCCTCTTGTGGGTCCAGCTGTGCCTACTGAAGAGATTGTTCCTATTGCTGGTTGTCGTTGTTCCTCCCCTCTTAGATCTGTTGCTATGAGCTCTCCCTGACCTGCTTCAGATAAGTGTGGCCAATTTAGTTGTGACTTAGTAATTTGGCTATTTTTAAGCAAAACAAGTTTGGGAGCTGGAGCTTTTGGTGGGGAAATCTAGGGGGGAGCAGCTTGTGGCACAGAGACAGCAGTGACTGCAGGAGGAGGAACTCAGTGGGGTGACTTACCTCCACCATATCCAATGCTGAGTGTGTCCCTTAATTATGTGTCCTCTGTTTTTAAAGCCAGGCATGATACCACCTTTTTCTACCTTCAGGGACCTTGCTCACCTCTGAGGGTTGTCAAAACATAGATGGTCGTGCTTCTGGGTGACTTTAATCAGGTCCATTCAGTCTGGAAACATCCAAGTTCTTCAAGTCCTTAACCTCTTTTATTCCTATATCTGCCCCAAGTCTTCCCTTTTCCTAATTGTATTTCATTGTATTAATACAACTAATGGCAATTCACCTTCTGCTTGAAGAGGAAAGCAAAAAAGGCAGTAGTGTTTGTCATTGACATCAGCTTTGCCTCGGTCTTGAACAGTGAGCTCACTGTTCTGACTTTGCTCCTAGTGCTAATTTCTGATGGGTAACAAATGCTTCTTCTGTTCCTAGCTAGTCTTGTCTGTCTTAGCTCTTGTTTGTGGCCCGATGTGTGTTCATGCTATGCTATTATTAACGTTTCTTATCAGCCAGATTTGTTCCTTGGTTAGTTTTCTTGCTGTGAAACCCGCTTTGTCTGCAGCGTGTGAGGCTGCCCTTGTTTTAAGGGTGCAGCCTGGTTGTGCAGAAGGGAGGACTTCTCACTCAGAGGAGCTGCTGAGATGAAGAAGCTTTTTTCCCCACATTTGAAATAGGTGATCTTGAAAGCCCAAAGTATCTGGAGCTCTTGAAACAAATCACCTTGCTGGAAGGGATCCTTGGCAGTGAGAATGGTGGGGCTGAGGGGTGGACTTGCTGAAAAGCCAGCTGTGTCTGCCTTGGGAGAGTGCTGCTGTGCTCAGGATGCTGGAGGTGGTTATGGTGTGGATAGGCAGCTGGATGGAAGGTTTGACAAGGTACAGAAAAAAAAATATCTTGATTTGGAGGCATTTGACAAAAGATATCCTCCTTCCATCAACTCAAACAGCGTGACATTTAATAGCCATCTTCATTTTCCAGGTAGCCTGCTGCTCAAGGGAGGCTACTGGCTGGTTGTTGCTCATCACTTAGTCCCAGGATCAGCAATAACCTGCTTTTTGGTACAGGGTATAGATCTAGGGAGAGAATGCAGATGTTGGTTTGCAGGCCTGCCCTATGGAAGTGCTCACACTGGCTCTTTTCTGATGAATAGACAGAATTTCACTTTGTCCAAGGGTGGAAGTCTTACCCTGAGCAGGCTGATGATCTTTGCATTTCAAATAAGCAGAGCTACAGCAGCGGAGTGTTACCAATTCAGTGGGCTTGCTGTAGCTAGGGATGTGTCTACTCTCATTCCCAGCACAACAAAAGCTAATTTACAGTGCCAGAACATAGACTACTGACTTGGGTGCAGGGAAAGTGTGGTGAAGAGTGAGTCAGGCACTCATTAGAATAATTATTTCTTCTTGCTCGTTTGAAATGCCAGCGCTCTCTCAGTGTGTGTCAGGTTATGTCACAGTGACCAGTTTTACTCCTTTTTTTTAAAAAGAAAAGCTTCCTATTCCTGCCTGAAGATGTGTGCTTGCTGTTGGAGGCTGCAGGCTAGGATATGTGCGAGGAGAAGAAACCCAAAAGTGATGTTCTGCACAAATATTTCAAATATTGGAAAAGTAGGCAGGGATAGCTACTGCCTTTACCTTTTTCCTGCCCCTCCTGCTGTGTCTCAAGCCAGTGCATTGAGATCACAGGCATTTGGGAATGCTGAGCCCACTTCTGCTTTTCTTACTGAAGCTGATTAACTCAATACCTGCTCATCAGCTCAAAGAATTGCCCCATAAATCATTGTTGTGAACCCCCTAAAACCTTTCAGCTGCCACGTGAGTAGGATCAAAGATTCTGTGATGACACGGGCGAGGATAGTTTGTGGTTTGAAAGTCCTCTTGTAGGCTATTCCTCTCCAATTCCGATATCTGAGGGTTTTTCCACAATCTGTCATGACCTTTATCTATTTTAACTAGGAGTTAATGCTGTGAGCAAACTTATGGCTTGGGGAGAAAGTCCAGAAGGATATCCCTGTATTTTTATCTTTTTTTTAATAACCCATCTAGCAGGCTGCCTCAAAGTGGAGGAGGTGCACACAGAGCCACCCTTCATTTAATCTACAGACTGATGGCCAGGCAGAGGCCATCTCATCCCCAACCTGTGCTGCCTTGAGTCTGTACCACAGATGAGCTGAAAGGCCTGGTAAAGTGCTAACATTCTGCTGCTTTTCACTCTAGAAGGCCAGAGACTCCTACATGGAGGAAAGGAGGCGACAGCAGATGGAAAGGGATCAGGCTTACGTGACAAAGAAGCTGCAGCAGGAGGGGTTCACGTCCCACGGAGACTCTTGGCGCCGACGGACGCTGTTGCAGAAATGCACTGCCATGAGGGAAGAGAGAATCCAAGGCTTTCTACAGGCACTGGAGCACAAGAGAGCGGACTTCTTTGAAAGATTGTGCACGGTGTCTGCATGACATAGGGGCCAGGTTGATCTTGGGAAGACAATTTTTAACCTTGTGAGAGGGAACGGCTGCTGCCCAGAGGAATTCACTCGGTGTGGTTCTGCAGTGGGGATGCAGGGCTGCTTTAGGACTTTACATCCCCGCTGGCCCTGTCCAAGGGTGGGGACAGAGTACTGTGAACCTTTCTAGTTCTGTGACTGCTGCTGAGGAAGGTGATGCCGTCCTTCTGTCTCGCCTCCCTGCCCTCTAGGACTTGACATCCCCACTGGCCCTGTCTGAGGGTGGGGACAGAGTACTGTGAACCTTTCTAGTTCTGTGACTGCTGCTGAGGAAGGTGATGCCGTCCTTCTGTCTCGCCTCCCTGCCCTGATGATGGAGAATACACGCACCCTGCCGCATCTCTGCTGCTTGGTACTTGCCAGTGACAAGAAGTTATCTAAAACAAGCTCCCATTCTGTTTGACTCCTCATGAGTTGGCCCCCAGGCAAATCAGTTCAGTCCTGTTATAAACCAATCTGGACTCGAATTCTTTCCATGGCTTCGCAGTAGCAAATCTTCTGTTGAGATTTCTTCTGCTGTCCCATAAGGGGAGCCTTGCTTTCTGGAGGGAAAGGATTATTCCTGGTGTAGAAGGGAGACCTGTGCCAAGGGGTGGCAGAGAGATTCCCCACTGCCAGCTTCCTGAGGGCATTTTGTCTTTTTCCCCACCTTCCTGTCCTGGCTTTGATGTATCTGCTCTTGGCTTCCAAAGAGCTAAAGCGAGGTGTTGTCAACCTTGCTGGAAAGAAAAAAAAAAAAAAGATACTCCAAAGCTTCATCCTGTCATCCCTTCTGAGCAGTGTGTGTGGGGAAAAAACCCAAAGATGGTGTTGGAACAGACTGACTGTGCTCAGGCAAGGAAAAAGGATTAGTTGGGAATTAACTTCATGGCTTAAAAAAAAAAAAGCAGAAGTAGTTAGCCAAAACCAGGTGATGGATACAGTATGTCAAAGTCCTCCGAGACCTCTGCAGAGCTATGACTTCATGTCCTGTTTCCAGGGAATGAGGGTGGGCTTAGTTCAGGAATAGAGGAGCCAAAACCAACCCCTGACCCCAGCCAGAATGGTTGAGAAGGGCCATTTAGCTGATTTTAAAGGGAGTGGCTGGAGCAGCTGTGGAGTGTTTGTTCTTAATTTTCCATCGGCAGGGAGATGGACTAGCTAATTTCCAAGATTGTTTCTGTCTCTTAATTTCTGCTGGATTCCGTCCCCGTGGTCAAAATAAGAGAAAATGTCTTTTTTTTTTTGTTTGTTTCTGATGCAGGTGCAACAGCGCCAGCTCTTGCTGTTTTTTAAAGTATTCCTTTTTACCTCCAGGTGAAAACTAGAAAATGCAGATTTAAAAGACTTGTTAAGTGCTGCCGACTCAGCGCTCTGAATGTGATTGTGAAGAGGAGAAACTACATTGTCAAACCGTGAATAAAGCCTGTTCATACCAAACTTATTTTAAAAAAAAATAAGCCGAACACCTAAGAAAAGTCCGTAGAGCTCATTCGAAGGTGTAACGAAGTTGGCATCTGGGTGTAATTAATATTGTTTAAGCTGTGACAGAGTCCTGGCCTGGTTGCTGTTAGACTGGGAGCCATTTGAAGGCTGTGTTCTTTTTACAGTCCAGCAGGAGCAATTTGCTGATCCCCCCGGGCTCGGCGGAAGGAAGCTCCTGTGCAGGAGGAACCTCTTCTCGTGTAAGTAGCCAACGGCAGGTTGGATGGATGTGTGATGAGATGGTGGGACCTGTCCATTTTTAAACTTCTTTTGCTGTATTTTGTTTTCCGTCTTTGCATTTTAGGAAGTTGTCTGTGGAAGTTGTCAGTGGTATCCCCCAAGGGTCAATATTTTTGTTCAATATATTTATCAATATTTATTGGATGAGGGGACAGAGTGTATCCTTGGCATGTTTGCTGATGATACCAAGTTGGGAGGACTGGCCGATGCTCCAGAGGGCTGTGCCACCATCCAGTGTGACCTGGACAGGCTGGAGAGCTGGGCAGAGAGGAACCTCATGAGGTTCAACAAGGTCAAGTGCAAGGTCCTGCACCTGGGGAGGAAGAACCCCAGGCACCACTATAGGTTAGGGGTGGACCTGCTGGAAAGCACTTCTGAGGAGAAGGATCTGGGGGTCCTGGTGGAGAGTAAACTCTCTGTGTTCCTTGTGGCCAAGAAGCCAATGGGATTCTGGGTTGTGTTGGGAAGAGTGTGGCCAGGTGGAGGGAGGTCATTCTCCCCCTCTGCTCTGCACTGGGGAGGCCACAACTGGAATCCTGCATCCAGTTCTGGGCTCCCCAGTTCAAGAGAGACTGGGAACTGCTGGAGAGAGTCCAGCGTAGGGCAACAGAGATGATGGAGGGATTGGAGCATCTCCCTGGTGAGGAAAGGCTGAGAGAGCTGGGGCTCTTGAGCCTGGAGAAGAGAAGGCTGAGGGGAGACCTTCTCAGTGGTTCCCAGTGACAGGACGAGGGGCAACGGGCACAAGCTGGACCATGGGAAGTTCCACTCCAATGTGAGGCAGAACTTCTTTGGGGTGAGGGTGGCAGAGCCCTGGCAGAGGCTGCCCAGGGAGGGTGTGGAGTCCCAAATCTGGAGATGTTCAAGCCCCACCTGGATGCTCCTGAGTGATGTGCTCTGGGCAGCCCTGCTTTGGCAGGGGGGTTGGACTGGATGGTCTCTAGAAGATCCCTTCCAACCCTGACAAATCTGTGATTCTGTTAAATCATAGAATGGTTTGGGTTGGAAGGGACCTTAAAGATCATCAAGTTCCAACCCCCCTGCCCTGGGCAGGGACACCTCCCACCAGCCCAGGTTGCTCCAAGCCCCCTCCAACCTGGCCTTGAACCCCTCCAGGGATGGGATGTGGGGATGAAGAGCAAATGGTTTGCTCTCCATGAGATGGGAGCGCTCTCTTTCGCCAGGGGATGATGGGCAGACTTTATTTCTACTTGAGAATGTTTGGTTTTTTTTGTTTGGTTGGGTTTTTTTTTGCCTTAAAAAAACTAACAAACAAACAAAAAAAACCAACCAACAAACCCAAAAGGTTTTCAGGTGTCTTATGACAACACAGGTGACCGAAGCCACTGTGGTGGTTTCCCACTAAAGCAGCAATACTGGTGCAGGTGTGGTAATGGGAAGATCTGGTTTAAAAAGGTTTGTAGGGAAAGCTTTAATTTTAATCCCTTTTTTTTTCTCTCTCTCTATATATATATATATATAGAAAAGCCATTGTTGTAGGAGGGGAGGAGAAAACGTCAATCCTTTGGGCAGTGGAGAGGAAAAAAAAAAAAGGCTTGTGTTCCCTGGCAGTTTGTTTATTCCATGTTTATTCCACCTGCGTGGGTTATTCTAGTTAAAATACCAACTTTCTCCTCTTAAGCTTGGCTTCATTAGTGGATGAGCGTTAATTACGCAGGCAAACTCCCCAGTTTGGGGAACCGCGTGGTTAAGTGGAAGCAGAGCTCTGGGGCTCCTTTCAGCCGGGAATTAACTTCCCCAATCCCTCTTTTTTTTTGGGAGGGAGGAGTGAAGATGTGAAAAATCAGCACGACTTGGGGGGGAGAACCCCAAAAATAGAGCTTTTTTGGTATT